ATTTTGTATATGTGTACTTTTTTATGAGCAAATAGATTGAAGTAGAGCAATAAAATAGCATAATTATTAAAATAAGAAACATAAAGCATTTCATTGCCTTTTGATTTAAATCTCATCAGCATAATTCTTTTATTACTCTGAGTGCCATTTGGGATATTCATTACAGTCTTTTTTTCTATATAATTTTTACATAGCTCATACTGTGCTATATATAACATTGTATTTTTTTATTTAACTTTTTCTGGCTTGGTATTCCTTCACTGAATGAATACGTAAAATGGGTAGGATATACCTACATACTTAATAGTTATATTTTATTTTATTTATTTTTTTTGAGACAGGATCTCATTCTGTCACCCAGGCTGGAATGCAATGGTACGATCTTGGCTCACTGCAACCTCTGCCTCCCAGGTTCAAGCAATTCTCGTACCTCTGTCTCCCAAGTAGCTGAGATTACAGGCACGCACTACCATGTCTGGCTAATTTTTGTATTTTTGGTAGAGATAGGATTTCACCACATTGACCAGGTTGGTCTCGAACTCCTGTCCTCAAGAGATCCACTTGCCTTGGCCACCCAAAGTGCTAGGATTACAGGCATGAGCCACTGTGCCCAGCCAATAGTTTTATTTTAAAATCCAGTGACACACAAGATAAAACATTTGAGTTTTAGGAACTATTCAGATTCTTTGAGCCCACTGGAGTTATTTTTTGTTGTAAATTGGTTGAAATAGGTATTTTCTTGGAGTTCGAACATCTTTAAACAAAAAGGTTTTGGTCGTAGTACATTTCATGTTACTTATATCTTTATCAAATTTAGTGTAAACATGCCAGGTGTGGTGGCTCACGCCTATAATCCCAGCACTTTGGGAGGCCAAGGTGGGTGAATCACTTGAGGTCAGGAGTTTGAGAACAGACTGGCCAACATGGTGAAACCCCATCTCTCCTAAAAGTACAAAAATTAGCTGTGAGTGGTGGTGGGCACCTGTAATCTCAGCTACTCGGGGGGCTGAGGCAGGAGAATCACTTGAACCCTGGGAGGTGGAGGTTGCTGTGAGTTGAGATCACACCATTGCACTCTAGCCTGGGCGACAAGAGTGAAATTTCATCTCAAAAAAAAAAAAAAAATTATTATAAGTTTTACTTGTAAGAGGAACGTAGTAGTAGGACACAGCTTGAGTCTTAGAAATACTTTAAGTTATTACGTGTTCTCTTGTTTATATCAAAATTATTAGGTCTTTACTCCACTTATTTATTGTATTCTTTTTTCTTTTTGTATTGCTGTTGTTAATTCAGACATTCTGAATTGAGTGACATAGTCATTTTTCCCTTTGGATGTCAAGCATTATAAGTAGCCATTGCATGGCTGAACGTGGTGGCTCACACCAGTAATCCTAGCACATTGGGAGGCCGAGGCAGGTGGATCACCTGAGGTCAAGAGTTCAAGACTAGCCTGGCTAACATGGTGAAACCCTGTCTCTACTAAAAATACAAAAAAATTAGCCTGGTATGGTGGCAGCTCCTTTAATCCCAGCTACTTGGGAGGCTGAGGCAGGAGAATAGCTTGAACCCAGGAGATGGAGGTTGCAGTGAGCCGAGATTGTGCCATTGCTCTCCAGCCTGGGCAACAGAGCAACAACTCCGTCTGAAGAAAGGAAAAGAAAAAAAAAAAGAAGAAAGTAGGCAATGCATTAGATAATTTCTCCCTTTTTCTTATTGCTCAAATGAAGGCAACAAATACGGGATATATGGAACTGTTGACAAAGGCTGGCATACTGATATTCTCAGCCTTCTAAATTTCAAGTTTAATGTTGTTGAAGGCTGGCAATACAGTAATTACTTTGTTCGTGATGCTATAAAGATACATGTTAATAGGGAAGGGTATGAGCTGGAAGCCTCAGCATGGAACTGAGTCAGAATCATGAGGTTGGAAGTGACTTCTGGTCTTTTCTGGCTACATATAAAGTCATTTGATCACTACTTTTTTGCTTTATTCATGAAATAAATACTACCAATTTAATAATGACAGCTAACGTTTATCAACTTTATTCTATATGCCACGCTAAGTACTTTTTACATGAACTGTTAGCTAATGATTGTGACCTATTAGCTGCCATGTTATAAAAAAAAATGCAGCATTTTGTGTGATGAGAGCTGTTTTCTCCTTGATTTGTGGTTGGTTGCTAATGCATTAGGATACGCTTATTTGTAAACTTTCTCATATTTAGGGTGAATTGATTTTTCTAGATGTTGTAGTAAAGGCATTCTTGTAAAAAGCCGTTTTTTTGTCTTTCTATATTGTAGAATTGCAGTATGTTAGAAGTACTTGAGGTGGATGATCACTTCTTAAAAAAAAAAGAGAAAGACAATTACTCGATATACTCTCAAAGGGATCATGATTTCTAGAACCGAACACTGTCCTGAAGCCTGGAGAGAGCCAGGCTTTGTGGGTATAGAGTGGGTCTAAACTGTGGGCCAGAGCCATGAGGGGTTGGGAGTAATGGAAACCTCCTTAGTCTTGGCTGCATCTTTAACGGCTGCATTTTTGTTTTGTTGATTCATTTGTCTCAGTTCCTAATTACAAACACATTAATGTTGAGAAGTATGGGTGTTTTGGTTATGTGTGCATTTTGGTAGAAGGTAGGGATAGGAGGGGATACGTCTTACTAGAGAAAAATAAGAACAGGGATTTTGGTTTTTCTCTTGCCTTGATTCCCCAGAGCCCTTTATTACCTCTGTACTAATCAGTAGCTACTAGTAATACTAAAGTGTTACGTGGAAAAGTTGTTTGACTTACTAAACAATGTGGATTTAATAATAAAAATACCAGTAAAATTAGCACAGAGAACAGATTTCTTTCATGATTTCAAATGGTAATACGAGATAATTGCACATTTTTTCCTTCCAATGGATTTCTCATCCCTCTTTTTCTCAAAGTTTTATCAAACCTTCTGTTGACCAGAAGTTGTTGCTTTGACTTAGAGACCCTACGTGTTTGTTCCTTAAAATAATTACCATTAATGACATGGAACTCAAACCAGCAGTCATCCTGTTTATGCAATGATTGCACTTACACTATTAAATCTATAGCGAGGCTAGTTTCAAGGTCTCATGGGAATGAACACATAGAGATACTTCTCGACTTAACCATGGAGTTATACCCATTATAAATTGGAAATATCATTAAATGCATTTAATACACTTATGGAACATCATAGCTTAGCCTAGCTACCTTAAATGTGCCTAGAACACTTATATTAGCCTACAGCTGGGCAAAATCTTCTAACAGAAAACCTGTTGTTGACAAAGGCTGGCATACTTATATTCTCAGCGTTTTAAATTTCAGAAGGTTTAATATTGTTGAAGGCTGGCATTATAGTAATTAGTTTGTTCATGATGCTATAAAGATACATGGTAGGCTGGGCATGGTGGCTCATGCCTGTAATCGCAGCACTTTGGGAGGCCGAGGCGGGCAGATCACCTGAGGTCAGGAGTTCAAGACCGGCTTGGGCAACATGGTGAAACCCTGTCTTTACTAAAAATACAAATACTGGCTGGGCACAGTGGCATGTGCCTGTGATCCCAGCTACTTGGGAGGCTGAGACAGGAGAATCACTTGAGCCTGGGAGGCGGAGGTTGCGGTGAGCCAAGATTGTGCCACTGCACTCCAGCCTGGGTGACAAGAGTGAGACTCCGTCTCAAGAAAAACCCAAAAAAGTTATATGGTAATAGGGAAGGGTATAAGCTGGGAGTCTAAGCATGGAACTGAGTCAGAATCATGAGGTTGGAAGTGACTTCTGGTGTTTTCTGGCTACATACAAGGTCATTTGATTACTATTTTTTTTTTTGTTATTCATTAAATAAATACCACCAATTTAATAATGACAGCTGACATTTATCAAGTTATAATAAAATGTTGTGTATATCATGTAATTTATTGAATCCTGTAGTGAAAGTTGAAAGTGAAAAAGAGTGGTTATATGAGTACCATAATAAAATGGAAAAATTGTAAGTGAAACCATCAGTTTGAACCATCTGTATTGGTTTTAGTTCATTGTCAAAGAAATACACATCTGCATAGAAGAGAACTTTGAGAAGCATATGGAAGGCTGGGTGCAGTGGCTCATGCCTGTAATCCTAGCACTTTGGGAGGCCGAGGTGGGCGAATCATTTGAGGTCAGGAGTTGGAGACCAGCCTGACCAACACGTGAAACGCCATCTCTACTAAAAATACAGAAATTAGCTAAGCATGGTGGTGCATGCCTTTAGTCCCAGCTACTTGGGAGACTGAGGCGGAAGAATCACTTGAATATGGGAGACAGAATTTGCAGTGAGCCGAGATCGCACCACTGCACTGTAGCCTGGGCAACAGAGCGAGACTCTGTCTCAAAAATAAAAAAGCATATGGAAGAAATTAATGGGCCATAATTCTGTTACTCATACATAAAGCATTGGTACATTTTTTCCCATGTTTTTTTTCTATACATTTTAAAAATCAGCTCTCAATTAAATTGAGTGAGTGATTGGGAGAGGGGATAGCCTTCAAAGATAATCTCAGATCTTGATTAAAATTGTAGGCAAATCATCATTATCTGGAGTGACTTGTAGCAGGAAACTTGGATCTCTGCTGGCCTAAGTAGTTAGTGGTTGATTAGGACTAACTGATACCCCCTAAAGGGATTATGGTCATAGCTTTAAGGCTGGGATGCTGTTGGGGCAAAAGAGGAGATCAGGGGTTTGGACAGCTGGACCTCCTATCTTATGCTTCAATCAAAAGAACCCTTCGGTTTGGTCAGGGAAGGCAATCATTTAACCAACTGAGTCCAAATTATAGTGTCCATAAAGTAAAAAAAAGTCTGCTAATCCCCGCACACCATGATCAATATTGAAAACATGGAAGAAAACCAGATTATCTCTCAGTAATTGAGAGTTCATATAGAATGTACAGTTCTGTATCCTCTCTCTGTGAATGGGTTTTTGATTATGATCTCAGTATAATGGTAATGGATCATTTTGGAGTTGGAAGAATAGTTCAGTCTGGTATGGCGGCACTAATTAGGGAACCTATTAGATTCTGCTTGTGACATTTGAGAGAAATGGGAAATAGCAAGATTGGCAGTGGGTTCATGTGTGGGATAATTAGCTCAAATAATCCAGTATTTAACAGTTCTAAAATTGAATTGCTATTCAGTTGCACAAAGGCACTTTAGAAGCTCTTTTTTTGTGGGGAAGTTGGTCTTATGTGATTCTCTGTATATTTGTGGTTTCACTTTACATGACTCATTTACAGTTGTGTATTAAGTCTAATAGAAGGGTCTTTTTTTTTTTTTTTTTTTTTTGAGACTAGAGTCTCACTCTGTCACCCAGGCTGGAGTGCAGTGGCGTGATCTCGGCTCACTGCAGCCTCCGCCTCCTGGGTTCAAGCGATTCTCCCACCCCAGCCTCCTGAGTAGCTGGGATTACAGGTGCCTGTCACCATACCTGGCTAATTTTTGTATTTTTAGTAGAGATGGGATTTCTCCATGTTGGCCAGGCTGGTCTCGAACGCCTGAGCTCAGGTGATCCACCTGCGTTGGCTTCCCAAAGTGCTGGGATTACATGCGTGAGACACTATGCCTGGCCTGTCTTACTTTTTTTTAACAGTAGAATATCCTAGCATATGGTGGATTTTTGGAAGAGACTTGACTACTTGTTTCATGTATAGCAGTGTGCAGCTGGAATATTAATTTATTGTTTTATAAATTTATTTATAAATAAAAGTTATTACTTGTTAACTAGTATTTTTTTCCCCCAGTTTCTCTTCAGCAACGGGTAGCAGAATTGGAAAAAATTAATGCAGAATTTTTACGTGCACAACAGCAGCTTGAACAAGAATTTAATCAAAAGAGAGCAAAATTTAAGGAGTTATATTTGGCTAAAGAGGGTAAGTTCATAAGTCTCCCACCACCTTCAATGCGAAAATGGCCTCAAAGTGTTGAGTTTCTTGGTAGTAGTGTTAATTTTATCATTGAATAAACCTTGATTTTATTGGTACTTGCATAATAAAGGAATACTATTTAAAGGCCAGATTAAGAATGAGATTGAAAAAACAAGTTGAAAAATGCCTTCTTCAGATTTTGCCTTGTTTTTTGATCTTACTGTTGATATTTAGGTTGCATAGCCTTGAGATAAGAGACGGTCATTGCTCTTACACTTGAGATACAGTTGTGGGCAAACTAGGATTGTTGGCATTCTAATAACATCTTTAGCTATGTTTAATTCCGTGAAACATCAGTTTTACCCAACAAATATTCAGTTGTCAATAAATATTTATTTAATATCTACTATGAGGCAGACATTATACTTATGTGTTGGGTATACAGAAGGAGCAAAATTCATGTGGTTCTTTAACTTGGTTGAACTCAATGAGCCAAACAGATGTTAAGTAATTGTGTGATGAGTTGTTAAAAAAGAAATTGCAGGCCGGGCGCGGTGGCTCATGCCTATAATCCCAGCACTTTGGGAGGCCGAGGCGGGCGGATCACCTGAGGTCAGGAGTTCGAGACTAGCCTGACCAACATGGAGAAACCCCGTCTCTACTAAAAATACAAAATTAGCCGGGCGTGGTGGCGTGTGCCTGTAATCCCAGCTACTCGGAAGGCTGAGGCAGAAGAATCACTTGAACCCAGAAGGCAGAAGTTGAGGTGAGCCGAGATTGCGCCGTTGCACTCCAGCGTGGGCAACAAGAGTGAAACTCCATTTCAAAAAAAAAAAAAAGAAAAAGGAAAACTATCAGGAAAATACATGAGAGAACATGGTGGGGGACCTAATTTGAAGGATCAGGGAAGGGGCTTACATTCTGAGTACTGACCTAGAATAATGTGGATATGGCTTCCACAGCTCTCTAGACCAGTAGTTCTCAAAGTGTGGTTGTGGAACAGCATCATTATCATTATCATCACCTGGGAAGGTTGTTAGAAATGCAAATGTTTGGGTCCCACCCAGATTTACTGAGTTAGAAACTGTGGAATTTGGGTCCAGATGCACACTAAATTTTGAAAACTGCTCTATTCTGTAATAGAATAGTGGCTCTCAAATTCAAACATGGATAAAAATCACCTGGAGAGCTTGTTAAACCACAGTATGTTTGGGTGGAGCCCAGAAATTTGCATTTCTAATAAGCTCATAGATGATTCCCGTTACTGCTAGTTCAAGTACTACAGTTTGAGAAATCCTGTTCTAGACTAGTGATCATGCAGCTTTTTTAACTTGTGAACTCTGTAAAATATATACTTACATACAACCTTTATACATTTTAAAGTTGATGTTTAAAATTTTTTGCTTGAAAAGATGTGAAGGATGTAAGTTTTATATTGTTGATATTTACAATTTAAATGAAAACTTCGTGCTTTTTTTTTTTTTTTTGAGATGGAGTCTCGCCCTGTTGCCCCAGGCTGGAGTGCAGTGGCGCGATCTCAACTCTCTGCAACCTCCGCCTCCCGGATACAAGCAATTTTCCTGCCCCAGCCTCCCGAGGAGCTGGGATTATAGGCATGTACCACCATGCCCCGCTAATTTTTGTATTTTTAGTAGAGACAGGGTTTCACCATGTTGGTCAGGCCGGTCTCGAACTCCTGACCTTGTGATCCGCTCTCCTCGACCTCCCAAAGTGCTGGGATTACAGGCGTGGGCCACCACGCCTGGCCAACTTCGTGCTTTTAGACATATCCAGTGGAATGAAAATATCAGTGATTTAATGTCCATTGTCATCTGTTTAACAAAAAAACATACGAATAGCTTTTTAGCAGAGATTTTATAGTGGTTTTCCTCCTTGAGTTTTCTTCTTTACATCTCTTTTAGAATTTTGTTCTTAAAAATGGTTTTGGAATTTGAATATGCATTTGTTTCTTTTTCTTTCTTTTTTTTTTTTTTTGAGACCGAGTCTCACTCTGTTGCCCAGGCTGAAGTGCAGTGGTGTGATCTTGGCTCACTGCAACCTCTGCCTCCTGGATTCAAGCGACTCTCGTGCCTCAGCCTCCCTAGTAGCTGGGATTACAGGCCCATGCCTCAATGTGCTGTCTCAAAAGAAATAAGTTCTGTCTGGTTATTCAGTATCTTTATATGAATGTATCTTCTCCCTTTTAAAATTTGTTTATGCTTTTGAATTAATCAAGCACCACTGTCCTTCTGCAATGGTATATTCTTGTCAAGATGACCTGTAAAACATTTGATGTATATATAAAAGGTTGTGGTAGTATTTTCTCTGATGATCAATTGAAACCCAGCAGTATGATGCTGGCTAATGATATCCATTTTCTCCTTTACCTCTTATACCAAAACCTCTGTAGCTTGTTCATCCTGTCTACAGCTAATTGAAGTCAATCTTGCCTAAACCTTGTTTGTTTTGCTTTCTTTTTGTGTGTCCCCAGTAAAGCTGTTAGGATTCCTTCGTTTTCTTATTTTCTTTGAAATTATAAAATCGAATTTTCCCAAAAATTCTGAAGAAATGAAAATGACCAAGAACCTCCCATTTCTGAAATGCATTATCAACTGCAGTTTTAGATCTGTGAATTAAAGAGCTTGTAACATGGGTTGGTTCAAAAACCATGCTTAGTTTGTTAAAATTTCTTTGATGACATCTAAATGCAGTAAATAGTCTTTTTGTGTACTGTTGTATCTTTACTGTCCAAAGCGGTCAATAAACTTAGCTGGCCATAGCAAACAGTTGGGGTAGCTTTTTACAAAATTTCAAAAAAATACTCTGATCCTTTTTGAGAGTTTTTGAGAGACATTCGTAAAGAAAATGCATAGTATATAAAAGGTCATATGCTGATTACTTAGTTTTTGTCTTGGCTGTTAGCCTATATCATAATAAAAATCAAATGTGAAGATTTCCCCTGAGACAGCAGCTTTTATTGTATCTACTGTGAAGTCTAAATCTAGTCTTTAATGATTGCCACAGGTGTTTACAGTATAAACCAGGATTTTGATGTGGACAGCAGTCTTTGTTTTATCTTTCAGGAAAACCAGGTCAAGGTAACTCTGAAAGTCCAAACATTGGTTTTTTCCCAGTAGGTCCAGCTTTTGCTTTAGTGTTGTGATAGCTGTGTTTGCACTTGTTTGGAGAATAGCTGAAATATAAGTGCAGATGGTAATGAGAAATGCACCTTTTTACTTCTCTTACTGTCTGTTCTTTTCTTGGTACCTATTTTT